TGCAAACTTTGTTGCAGCAGCAACTTGCTTTAAGATAAAACCAATTTGTATTGCCAGCACCAGCTGGTAACGCAATGCACAACAACAGCAACAAAAAAGACATTAATGCGCGGCGTTGTTGCGCAGAACTAGTAGACCCCATGGCCAAAGTATAGTTAAAAGGACCTTTATCTCCTCAGAAGTGGGTAAATTCAAGCATACTTTGCCTCATGTCACACACTAGATTTGCTTGTAAATGGATCAAGGTAATTCAAGTGGCCCCATGCTGTAGTGTTCACAAATNCTACAGCCGAGAGTGGTAGACCCCGCCGTTTTGCCGATGATTCCATTGAAAGACTAAACACTAAAAGACTGAAACCAATATCAAAGACTTTAAAATATAAGGCGCTCATTTGCCCGGTTTCCAGAGCTATTTTCCCCTAAATTGATAAAGAAAGATATGAATTAAAGGGTTTTATCTCTGGTTTTCCTCCGGGCCTGTCTGTAACGTGTTCTTCTATTAACGTGCTTCGCTTTGTATATATGTTGTAAATATAATGTAGAGTGAATGTCTCCAACGTGGTAAATGAAAAAAAAAAATGTATTTTTTTTTCTGGTAAAAAGGGAAGGCGTGTAGTGTTCACAAATATAACGTGTAGTGTTCACAAATATAATTCCCAGACATGTAAATTAATTTGATTAGAGTCGATTGCTTGTGCACTCGACTCGTTTTATGGCCTTACCTGAAGTCATGTAACTTAAGTGGAGGTGTGCAATTTGAATAATTAAAATTAGTAGGTACCGCCAAATACTGCAGCACAGAATCCACCTAAAGATAAGAAATAGGTATAAAAGACGTATAGAATTAATATCGGGGGGCAGACTGAAGAAGACTCGAAGGTGACCGCTCGACGGAGCTATGGGAGACGGCTTAGAAGTTGGAGGCTTCACGTATAGAACATGTAGTTAGAGATCGTCAACCAATAAACCATTAAACTGGTCATTATGTGGACTTGGGTTTTCTTTGCGCTACCTTACGTAAATCTGACACGAACCGTGGAATTTTGAATTGCGTTATCCACTGAGTAAGTCTAAAACGTAATGTCCTATTTCGAGCCCACGCTTGAATTAAGCGTTCTAAATTATATAAGTTTAGGACATTCATCTCATATGTATATGTCAAGGTACATAATAAAATGCTGCAGATCTGAATTAATCCAGGACATTAAGGAAAAGTGGATAGCCCAGGAAACCTAAGCAAAAACATATTAGCCATACTAATGGTGATATGCTATATGTTCAGCAGTCCCCGGGGACTAGACCAAGATATCCAATAGGGAAAGAGGCCTCTATCATCCTTGCTTTAATAGCAGGATTATCATACTCCAGTTAGGAAGATATTCATATTTCTCTAGCACACTTGCCCTTGATCTAGCTAATATCATTAGGCTTTAAGTGTAAGAACCTGGAACCTATGAATGTTCACCATCTTTCACTACCTGTTTATGCTTCTTCAACCACTGTGCAGGACAAAGTCCATATGCTCAAAACAAATCACACTGCTGTTACCTGTGCTCTGCAAGGGTCAAATTAGCACCTTTCACACTGTGGTGTTTATAAATTATTACTTTCACAGCTTTGTTCTACTTCTTACAATAAGGAGATGGATAATGTGTGGATATGTATAACTGTTAAACCTAAAATGTATTATTATTGTTATTTATCTTTGTACATTTTCACCAGCTCAGACTGATGTATAAGACCCCATTTCCAGAGATTAGATCGATCTACTTTAGATCGACCTAACTCCCTGGGGGTTCACGCTAAATAGCTGTCAGCCGAGCGGACACGAAAGTTAATCACCCCCTTACAGTTTGCAGTAGGCGGGACAGATATTTAAGCTGGATTATCTGACAGTAATCTAGCGAGACTCCCCACAGGGATAGATCGATCTAAAAGCTCTGGAATACAGCCAAAGTAAAAGGGCGGATTAAAACCCTCTTCTTGGTCTTCCGGAAGACGGTCAGATTTTATAGTTTAAATTGACAGCTATCTCTTTTTTTCTGCCGGAAGACAGTCAAAAATGGAGGATGGATCAACAAAGACAATTTGGAGGGCCATCAGAAAATATCTCTGGATCTGCCCCTGAGTAAAAAAAAGGATTATTATCATAATTTGGATTACAAAATTGATTCGGGTTTTTCCCTTTTTAACTGACAAAATGACATACAGAACTGTCTGGAAAATTTAGCTTCAACATCGACTGGGTAAGAAAAAAAAAACATTCTTTTCTAACATATGAGATTCTACTTCATCATGATATTGATGGAATTTCATTGATTATAACCCCATAACAATTGCCCTAGAAATACCAGATATAATAGATCAACTGCCTAACCATCCTATTATAATATTTATGTACTACATAATCAACACTTCATTAACCAGGCCAGTAACAAGTGTTCTGCTATCAAGAAAAGATAAAAATAAAGAGAATATGTACAATATTCTTTCTTTTTTCTAGAATTTCAATGATGGAAGCTACTACTGACTACAAAGGGATTTCTGGGTTATGGTAGAACGACTGCAGAATCTCAGCTCATCAAAGCGGGGCTGTGATACAACAGTAGACAATATCATTGCTTCACAGCCACTTTGATGGATGAGGACTGCATGGTATCAGCAAACCCGTCAATTTTTTTCCATCACACCCTAACAAACCCCACCCCCCCTTATCCCCTACTAAAAATGTTCTGTATTTCATAACTGTAAAGAACATCACACTTCTGACCAGTCAAAAATATCCAACAGTCCACAGATTGCTTACAGGACAAAAACAATTCTTCCTTATTGGCAATAATATTAAGATGAGTTTTAAAATCAAAATATACCCCTTCGAACAAAATCATCCTAAGTAGAACTTTTGATCAATAGGCAGCAATGGCGTTGAAGTGTCATCATAGCTCATCAAAGCGGGCTGTGATATGAACAATAGACTACACATCACAGCCCCCTTGATGCCCACGGGGACACTAGCACTCTAAATGTCATCTTCTGAGTTCCGCAAAAATTTCCTCTTGGCACAGTGAGAAACAATTTTGATTGTTTCAGAGGTAATTAATTTTGAATTGCAGTTTTGACTGATCCTTGGCATTATTTTCAATGACAGACACATTTATTTTCATTGACACTTGAGTGATAATCATTCAGGGAATATTTAGAAAGAAGACTTTATGACTGCTTATTTACATCTAAATTTAGCCACGATAATATTTTAACTCCTTCACCTTTTAAAATGCTGTTACTCCTAGACAACTCATAAGTCAAAACAAAAAATAAACCGTAAACAAGGACATTCCAGTTTTTACCAAAATAAACATGTAAATATATCTGGCTCACTCTAAATATAGCATTCTAAACTAGTAGGGAAGCAGGCTCCGTCTCCACTGAGCACAAAATAATATCCATATTTCTGCCTTCAAAAGATCAGATGGTGTCAGAGATATGTATTCCCTTAAATCAGACTAAGAGATAGGAGAAAGAAGAGTGCCTGGGACATCACACTGGAACTGAGCCAGGAACAGCTATGCTCTACATAATGCAAATTTAGTATAAGAGAAAATGGGGAAATGCAGATACATTTTCTGCCCGGGTGAGTCCCATAATTAATTCCCAGGGTCACGGGGCTATGGCCCTCCTACTGCTATTATTAGTCTCCATTCGGAGGCCAAAGATTTAATCAGGGTCACTGTGGTGGTTACGACCTCTGCCAAACCGAGTTAGGACACCTCCGCATTCAGAGCCAACATCTGAGAAAGGAAGGCCTTGGAGAGGTTAGATCATTTATGACATTTAACTCAATAAATTGCACCTAGCAATTTTGTGCCTATCCTTGAAGCATTTACTTTGAAGTGTAAAAAAGGCACTTAGTGATGACCCACTCTTATTCCACTTATCAAAGAAACAATCTATGAAAAACCATGGAGTGAAGCAGCAGTAGTGAATCCCAAACAAAAACAAAGAAGAAATTAAATATAGTAATGATATACACAGCTTTTTATTCATCATATGTAATATAAACAAAATGGCATTTAAAAATGATACATAATCAAATATGAATACCCATATGTAAACTGCTTAAGTTGGCAATCTGTATCAATGCCTAGCCAATGCAGAACCCAAAGACTTTAATGAATTATAGAGCTGGCTCAACAACAGTTCAATACTCTTTAGGTCTACTCTTGAACTAATTAACCAGGCCTGTTCAGATTTATGGTTTCTTCACCATTTTCTGTTGAAGGGTACTGGAGAAGAGAGAGTATCTACTCCTTACAATATGGTAACATATTCCTAACCAAGTTCGAATCCTTCAGACAGAATCTCACAATGTGATCAACTTTATCACAGATATGAAGCCCGACCCCCCCCTCCCTACCATATCCCCACCCCCCTCACACAAATGATGAAATTCCCTTTTTTTTTTTAAAGGAAAAGTGGCAATAATCATTGCTGACATGGAGTATTTGGAAGACATTTTCTTATAAGCACAGCTTTTAAGGGATTTAATTGTGAATTATGTAGTGTGGTGAATGGCCTGTCCAATGGGAACACAGCAAATGGGATGGTTCAATGATAACTCTCAGAGAAGCCTGATTGATCTCACTACAGGGAGCCAATGGGACCAAACATTTGTTTCTCTGGTATAACCAGGAAAAAAAAAGGCAATACATCCACCTTTTTCTTATGCCCTTTTGTGCCATTTTACATTTATTTCAAATCTGAACATTTTTTCTAACTAAATACATATAATATTTTTTATTTTAGATTTAGTATTCTTTTTATCCAATCACGAACTATTTATTTTGATTGTTGGGTGTCTACCTTGAAAGGCAGATCAGACATTTGAATCAGCTAGAAATAGTGTTGGTCAGGTCTTCCCCTCTAGCTCGTCAAAGCGGGCTGTGATATGAAAACAACTCAACATTTCACAGCCCCTTAAACGAACAGAAAGCAAGCTGGTACATGGTAGAGATCCATCTTTTCTTTTTAACAATCTTTTCCACAGAAGCCCTCTAAGGTTGGCAATTAAGTGTCTAAAAACATGAGCCACTTATTTTATCATGAGCATGGTATGAATTGCTACTTGCTATAATTGAAGGTTAAGTTTCATATGTAGTGTTATTTTTAACTTGAATTACCTTAAGGTATTCTCATCCTAAAAACAAAATAGACAAAACTTCTGTATGATTTATTTCTATTTTTTACCAGTAATACTCGAACATTTAACTCTATCCTCAAGTAATACAAAATCAATACAAGAATGTCCCTTTAGAGAAATCCTTTACAAGGGCTGAAAAACACGAGCTTGCAGAATTACTTCACAAACAGGCATTAGATTTTTTTTTAAACAAAACTGTACTTAATTTAGTGCAGCATTTTTCGTACAACTGAACCAAAACAAAGGCCAAATTAGGCAAAACATGACTTCCCACTCAATTTTCTAAAATTCCGTAATTGTTCAGCAGAAGCAAAAATTAACATGAAGGCAGGTGCCCCCCAGTTTCATATCACCAAGTCCAGTAAACACACAACTGTGTTAACTGTGCAGTCCATTTACTATTGTAACCTGCATGATCCCTATCTAGAAAGAGGATCATATCTTGTCGCTCCTTACTCCGTGACCTCCGGAACACCTGCCTGCAGTGAATCGGACTCCACTTCCACACAAAAGCACCACTACAAAAGCACCTTACAAAAAAACCCTGCCGTTATTGCTCTTTGTCCTTGGCTTCTTTTATTTGTTGGTTTACCTTAAAGATATTACAATCACTGTTCTCTTTGTTGCGTGTTGAACTCTTTGTCCCTTTTCTTTGTTATCATCTCCACACCATTTTATTGAAAATGTGACAATCATTTATTATATCAAGATTTGGTTTTCCTTAAGAGAAACATTTTAAATATTTTTGAGCAGTGTTTGGTTTTATTGTTCAATGTTTGGGTCAACAGCCGATTGGCTATGAAGCCCACTCAGTGCTGACCTGAGTGGGTACTCAGTGTAAACAATGATTCATTCACCCCGTTAACACAGTGAAAAGCTTTCAATAGAAACACACCTCGATCAGAATCTGAACAACACAAATCACCTCGCTGAAAAACTGAACTAGAACAGCTTCTGGTCAACATTTGGTTGTACAGCAACTGTATATGTATTTCTATTGTGTGTTCTGGGCTGGGCCTCTCCAATTGTCTTTAGGATTAAAACCAAGGTGAACAAAGGGACTTTTAAGGAAATGGGCCTTTACCTGTTCTTTTAAAGTTTCAGCTTTTTCCTTGCGGGCCTCTTCATAGTTTGATGATGATGATGATTCAACACACTGTCTGAAAAGTAGATGATTAAAATTTTATTGTCAAACAAAGAATTGTAAAAGATCAGAGAGGTGTAAAAACCAGAACTCCCCTCTCAGAAATAATAAAAACAGACAAATTAAATAAATTATGTCAAAGGGCTAAAAACATACATTCTGCAGCTTTAATCCCCAGAGACAAATTAGCCATTTTTTTTCCAATGCATGGTACATTTCACAAGGGCATAGAAGCAACATATTTTCTGTCCGTATGTCAAACCAGTGCAACCTCAGACTTCAATTCATTTTTCTATTTATGTTGTCTTTCTGGTTTTAAAGACACCTTGCCCTTCCGTTTTTTTTTTTTTTTAATCTGATGGGGGAAAAATATGGATGTAAACAAAAGTGTTGCTGCACTCGTCCTTAAAATGACACATTATGCTTGGGCAGAATGCACTGCGACCAATGCAAAAATCAATACACTGCAGCAACCAAACGGCCTGATTCATCCTAGCTACAGTTCTAGGAACAGGCTTTCAGGATGGTGATTCACTTTTACTTAACGAGATATTTGAATAAAGTTGTAAACACACTCGGAACAGGATTCAGGCAATATATTCTTACAGAAAAAGATTCTAACAGTCATTGCGAACTTTTAATCAGATGGACTGAAGCAATTTAGGTTTTCTCTTGCCAGACAGCATTGTATGAAAATTCTGCTTCATCAGTCATTTTGCTAATTTGTGAAGTCTCAATTAACACCTATATTAATCTGATAATGCTGACAACCTCTGAAATAACTTTGGAATACTCACAGCAGGAGAATTATGATAATCCCAAAAAGGATGTTTTTAATCTTGCCAGCCACTCAAAATGTGTTAATTAGCTACTGAGCACAAACACACCTTTTGTAAATTACTTACGTCAAAAGACATAATTGAAATCCCGTTCAATTACAATTATATGAAAGCTACCAAATGAAACATGCCCCAATACTCAATTTTTCCAAGAACACAATTAATATGGTAAACATCTTCAATTCCGATGTTGGACAAAAAGGTAACATTTATTATTGTAGCTGCTCTAGTAACTAGTGATTGACTAAGGATCCATACAATTTGGCATCAAATGAGATTTTAGATTCTGATATATGATAAAGCTAACATCATTCTAAGCAATACTGCTTACATTCAGTATTAGTTCAGTTCTTTAATAAACCATGGTTCACATTCTTTTCAGCACTGTGTACAATATGAAGATAAAAAATTTTAAATTTTCATTCTAAAATACACTCGTGCCTTCTTAAATCTTTAATCCCACATTAAGGAAAATTAAACCATGCCAACTTAAATCACCAATTGTTTAAGAAATACTAAGTGCAAGTTTGAAACTACAATTATATTCAAAATACAAACATTTTCTAAAATTCAATGTCTGTTTAAATCCAATACATTTTTGTCAATATCATAAAACTGAACATAATATTCTTTAAAATGCAAGTTATTAGCTGAAGTTAATTAAAAGTGTTACATTATAGCAAGCTAAATCATTCTTACCATGACTCAATTTTGATTATGGCTACCTAAATTCAGTAAAAAAATACTTGGACTTCAATTTCTAACTTTCCACAATTTTAACTGGACTGATTCGAAAACTAATCTGATGACAGCATTTCCACCACAATACCATGCTACACAAAATCTTCAATTATTCATGACATTGCATAGGTCACATATCAACAAAGGCAAACCAGATGAACCATCATAAAATATCTCTCTCTTTCTCTCTCTCTCTCTCACTCTCTCTCCACCCCCGTGATATCACATCCATTGCCAGTTTCCCAATATTCCTGAGCATGTCTTTTTCCTACACGGAATCTCATTAGCTAATGGCTCAGTACATGCTGTCACCACCTTCATCCGCACTGCTCAGTGACTGGTTATGCCTTGCTTAGATTCAACTGGTGGTCCAGTCATGATATTACATGAAAGTCCATAATTTACTTCCAGCGGGTGAATATGTTGGCTTCAGATATATAACTCCATTCAAAGGCTCAGTAAATGTCTGCTATTAAAATGTAACTAATTCTGCCTTAAATATTCAGCACAATCTAGACTAAAAAGCATTTGCTAGTAACAAGTTTAAAATGCTTTGTTCTTGCTTTAAAAAAATCAACTGAAACAAACCACAAAGACAGACGTATTTAGGGTAATAACCAGGCTTTATGTAACCAAATATTAGTTATGAAAACTTCTCCTTCACAATCATGGCGCTTTCAATTGCTACAGTTGTCTGTGGATGAAAAATACCTTTGACTGCACAGGTTATATTGGTTGTGTATATTCAAAAACAATAAATCAATTTAAAATTAGAAATTTAAGACACTTACAAAATAAGCTCCAACTGGTCCCAACTTAGCTGAAGGCCTTCCACTGTCTGTTTGTACATATACTCCTCTTCTAATAAAGCCACTTCTTGCTCCAGTTCAGCTATCTAGAATATAATACAAACAGTACTGGTAAAATATTCCATACCAAATCATTTTGACTGTCATAAGTGAGTATGTTTGACACATTATAATATATTTCTCAAAAAGCTACCCACCCTCAAAACATTTTTTAAGTACTTCAAACAAGTCATTTTTAAATCTAAAAAAAAAAAATAATAAAATTTATCTGATCTGCCAAGTTCGCACACATTACAGAAGTCAAAAAATTATTTAAAATTAAAAAACATACTTCTGCCTCCACATTTTACTGAAAAATTTAACTACCTTTTCTGCCTACTTTTTATCCATAAATTTCACTGAATATCCTTACTCCTATGTCTACTTACTTCTTTCAAATATTTTGCTTTCAGGTCACCAGGACCATCCTCCCCATCATCTGTGGTAAAAATCTGCCCCTGTGTTTCCACCAAATTAACCAGGCCCCTGGGAGGCTGGTTTTCAACAGATTCATCATGATCATTATTATCAGGCTCACTTGATTCTGGGAACCTATTTACAAGGAAAGAAAAATTATGGAGTATTTCAAATAACACAATATGATTCAGTGGCAATTACAGACAATATCAATACTAAATATCACTACTGAAGCTGTATACAGGTTTTTAATGATTTTCTGTACAATATTAACTAGTGCTTTTCATAAATATTTATTTATATACTAGTAGATGTTTTTCTTTACTTTCAAATTTGTATATTTGAATATTGCAGAAATGAAATATTTTCTTGATTGATCATAACATTTGGATAACTGCTGATTACATTATTTTGGAATTTTCAGCTGAAGATTAAAAATTCACAGTTTTCTTTGTTCTTTTTCAATCTACCTTCCAAGCACTTTTCCTCAATGACTTCTTAATTTCAATTTCATCTCCTGTATTCTTAAATTTAAATTTAAATTTTTAATCTTAAATTTCTGCTTAAACACTTTGTTCCTACCCTCTTTGTTAAACATCTTGGAAGTTGGACTCCCAATACTTCTAGTTTTTACTGAAATTTCCTCACAGTTAATTCACAACAGACAAAGGGTTTGCCTATCCAAACGTATTCCCTTTCTTTTTGAAAAAAAAGTATCTTAAATGAATTTCGTAAATGTTCACGTTTTACCTGCCCTACTACCTACCGGATCTGTAAACAAAGGAGTTTATTCCAGGACGAGGGTTAATCTTTTGTGGATATTTACTCAAACTGTAAACATTCGGAAGCACGCTTTGTCCCGCGCTTCATTGTTCGGTACGTGGTGTGTGCTCAATATTGATCGAAATGCAGTGAATCATATTCTAGTCACCCCTTTATCGAAAGGTAAAATAGCAAATGACTTAATAAAATCGAAAGATTTTGTCTCCGATAAATTTCAACGCCCCAGAACGATAGTTCTTTAGCTCTGAATTAATCAGCGCGAATTCAAAATACCGAATGTGTGACATCACGCGTTCTCCGACCGCATGGGGCTTCGGGACCTCCTTTGTTCTACCACGTTTAAGAAAATTATTGAGCGCACTATAAGCGCTTTTCATCCTGCAAAGTCCTTACCTTTTACACATGATTTTTTTCGAAATTTTCTAGATTTTTTTCAAAGACTTACTCGGTTATTGTCCGTTGAACATGGGCCAGAATATCTCCCTCTGAACTGCCCGCCATTTTGAGATTCATAATGGTATGCTAGAGGGCGCATTGTTTATTAAGTAAAATATTTTTAAAAATTGATTACTATTAATTTTTCGAAAACAATTTTCAAAAATTTATATGAAATAGTTAATTTTTTTGAAATATTCTACCAAAAATTAAAAAAATTAAAATTGATTTCGCGGTAATTTATCGCCACCTATCGACAATTTTACCAAGCACCTGCTGACCTAATTTCCGAAAGCATGGCATCTGTTGATTTCACGAACCACACCACTTCTTCTATGGTTTAAAAAAAGTCAAGTAAGTTGGAGAACCAGTCAGAGCCCTTTGTTATAAGACGTGTCTTTGCTGATCACAGCTGAATGTATTATTTCGACTTCATTTTGGATGAACTTGTGGAGGCTGAAGCTGTGCAGCATATATATTTGCAAGAATAAATGCATTCATTATTCATCTGCTTTATTATTTATTTTATATTTAGACAAACTTTATTTATTTTAAAAACAGATTTTAATGTTATTATAATTAAAATTAACTGACTGTTGCCAGTGTTGGTGTGTTGATATATATATATCACATTAGGAAAAGAGGCCTCAGGCACTGAGGCACTAGAATGAAGAAGTCAATTCACAAATCATATATATATATATATATATATATATATATATATATATATATATATATATATATATAGTATTCCTGAATTTTGAGAGGTATGAATTTAAGTGCAGATTGAAATTTTGCGAAAAGTAAATTTAACGCCAAAGCCTCAGCACCCGACACTCTAATTTTAGGTGTTTTCAGACCTTCTTCAAGCTTGAAAATTTGGAGAAAGAAATTAAACATGCAAATGAAGAGTTCCTTGAAAACTTGGTGCAAACTTCAACAAATATTGAATATTTGCAGCAATTCTAAATTTTCTTGCAAATTCTTCTGCTGCAATATTTTCATATTTCTGAGGGGCAGTGATGTGACAGGTAACACTTAAAAAAACTAAAAATATTTACTGTTTTAGTATATGGAAGATGGCAGAAAAGAAGAGACTGTACGTTGGGGGATTGTTTGAGGAGGTCACTGAAGATGACCTCCGGACTAAGTTTGCCAGGTTTGGAAATATCAATGGCATTGATATCAGGTTACAAAAGGATCTAACTGGTAAGTTAAAGTTAATATTGGTATGAATCTATGATTTTAATGAAACTGATGTTTTGCAATTACAGCAGTCATTATAAGTACATATTTCTTATGGATTCACTATAAGGTAAATGTTGAACCTGACACTTATCTTGCAGTGAAAAAAAAAATATTTTGGCTGTTTTTGACGAATAAAAAGTAATAATACTGTTTATAGCCTATGTATCATTTCTTCACAAATATTTTATTTACCTTGAAACATTTCACATTTCTGTGGTTTCTGTATCCTAGCTTGCTCTTTAAAAGCATGTTTTTGACTATAAGACTATTTTTTATGACAGGTGTAAATGCTGGAAGCAAGACCTTTGCTTACCTAGACATAAGTATCACTGATGCTGATCTGAAAAAGTGTAAGTTCTTAAAAATGTATTTCATTTTCTATTTGTAGTTTAATTCATCAGTGATATAGATAATTATTCAGTTGTGTTTTCCGTAGAGGACAGAGAAGTGTATTTAAACATAATGATATTTTAGAACTTTAAAGCATTATACTCAAAGAGATTTCATTTACCACATTAGGATAATAAACGTCCTATTTCAGGTATTAATATGTATAACAAGACAAAGTGGAAAGGAAGAGAAGTCAAGATACAACTGGCCAAGGAAAGTTTCTTAGACAGGTAACTGGATTGTTTCAATATGTGGAGTAGTGTTCTGCCAGAGTCTTGAGACTATGTATTTGTGCCCTTCACTGATATGTGCTTTGTTTTCTGCTCTCTCTCTCTTTTATAATCTGAAGCATCAAAAGTTGTAGTAATGAGTAATGCATATTTTTCAGGTTTCTTACTTGATGAGATTTTCTCATTGTAAAATCTGGGCTCACACTAGTACAGTAAATTTAAGCCAGATAGTAAACATGTTTTAATTTATTATTATTATTGTTGTTGTTGTTGATTGTATTTATGATTATTATGATTTATTTATCATGGACTCTGATTTGGCTAAGGTTATCCAGTTCTTTGGCTATAGGAAAAATTTTCCTAGAGTGAGCACACAGTTAAGATAAACCTTTCAAGTTCATATCTTATGTCAAACAACATATGTGGTCTTAAATCAATAGGTTGAAACGAGAACGAGAAAGTCTGAAAATTGAGCCTGAGGAAGTGAAACCAAAAAAGTCCAAGTCTGCTTCAGTGGTGCTTCATGATCCCTTCAAAGACCAGCCTAATTTGGACAGAGACACTCTCACAGTGAAAGGTGCCATCCCTGGGACTGAGCTGACTGGAGAAAAGGTGACCATTTTGCACGTCATGATTTAAAAACCCTTTGGTCCATGTCTGAATCTTGCACTTTTTTTTTTTTTTTTTTTTTAAAGTCAAGTCTCTCTTTTATATACTATGTTTTTGTTGTCATAAATGAGGAGGCTTGGATAATAGTAGATGAAAACCAAGTTATGATTGCTGTGTAAATGATATGGCTTTAAGTTAGTTTTAAATTTAGTTAAGTCGCCTGTTTCCACCATATTTAAGCCACTAAAATTGATTCTGAACATTATAACTGATGTAATCAGCTAAGCAGAAGTCCACCTTTGCAAAGTTATTGTTATTGATTTACACTGGGCTAGTAAACTCTTGATAGAATAAAAACTGAAAAATTACCCAGGGCCTTTTTCTGATAGCACTGTGATGGCATGCACAGATGTATAAAATAAGACATGTGATTTGAAACTTATTTTCTTCAGGACTGGGTTGTTGGAAAGTATGGAAGAGTTTTACCAGTTGTAAACATCAGGCAAAAAGATAAGAAGAAGGTATTCTTTTGAGTTACTTTTTATTGTCTTTTATTGTCAGTTCAGTAGAATGATTTAGTAGTGATTTGACCATGATTTAGTAGAAATTGTGTTTATATAATTATTTGTTTTCTTTTGTAAATATACTGTCAATAAAAAAACAGAGTTAATCCCTTTTGATATAACTGCTATATTTGTCAACATCCTGATAAAAGAACACATTGACATAAATTGATGATTTAAACGTTTCCCTTAATTTTCCTGAAGCTCCTTCGGGTGGACCCCTCCAAGCAGTGCCACCAACTAACCAAAGTTAAAGATGACCACAGGTTTGACCAGTGTCCAGTTCAGTCCCTGACCTGGGAAATGGACCAGGATGATTCAGCAATCACCAAGAAAAGAAAGGGGGAATTTGAGAAATGGACTCATCTGAAATCACCACAGAAGAACAACAATACCAAATCCAATATGGATTTAAAAGTGACCCCCATTCAGAATGGCACTGTTAGCTCTAAATTGAAAGAAAACTCAATGAACTCAGACTTTGAAATTGTTTCTGAAAGCCATATGTCTGCAGTAAAACCATCACAGGATAGAGTTAATTTGACAAAAAGTTTTAAAAAGAAGAAAAAGGGAAACAGTAATACTGAGAGCAGTAATATCCAAAACCAGGGAGATGAATCTGGGAGTGAGTCTGCAAGTTCTGCTGATACAGATGAACTGCTCACTTCAAATAAATCAAAATCTAAGTCATCAAAATCACCTCTGACCCAAAGTTTACCCAAGTTGAAAAATAATGCTGAAAGCATCAAGAAACAGAACAATGAGAAATCTAATGTAAGGCCATGTGAAATGCAATTAGATCAATCTTCAAAAATTTCGTCAAGAACTTCTGTTAAGCATGGACCAATTACCAAACAAAAGCAATTGACACAGTCAGTAACTGGAACTGTTAATAGTGAAAGTGATGACAATAATAGCAGTGATGAGGAGTCTTCTTCGAACTCGGACTCTCCTGCTAATATAAACACATTAACAAGATGGAGGTCTCATTTAGAACCTCGAAATGACTGCAATGACAGTAAGGAGACAGATTCTGAAAAGGAAAAGAGTTCAGAGGGAGTTAAACCACAGGAAAAAATTCAAAGAAATGACAACAATATAGATGGAGATTCCTCTGCTGACTCTGATAATGTTAAATCTACCAAGAAAACTGTATTGCAGCCTAAGCAACATTTAGCAAATGATCCTGTAAAAGAACCCCAAGCTCCAAGGGGAGTCAGTCCTCCATCTAGTTCAGATGAGGAAAGTGATATTGAAGAATTGATCAGACAAGAGAGGGAGAAAGAGAGGTTGAGACAAGGCACAAACAAACCTGGTACTGATAATGCTGATGATGGTGATGATTTTGAAGTTGTTCCTGTTGGTTTGTCTTCCTCCAGTGCCATCAGTAGAGGTCAGGTTGCTATGATTAAGAATAAAACTAAGCATGGTGAAGCTGAAGACAGCAATTTAGCCAAATTTTCTGATGGTGAGAGTAGTGATTCTTCCAGCTCAGATTCAGATGACAAAGTATCAGAGAAAACAGTTGCCAAGGCAGTAGTCAAAAAGACATCAAGTGGCCTTGGTATGAAATCTGGCCAAAAAGAGAGAAAGCTGTCAAACTTGAATACAGAAGTCTCTACTGCTGCATCTCAGAGCAGAACTAGTGTGCGTTCACCAATTAAATCTGGTCAGGGACATACGAGCATGTCTGTAACAAAGCCCAAATCACCAGTAGGTGAAGAAGGCAAAAAGAAAAACATACCAGTAGGTGGCAGTGCAAGCAGAATGACAGAGGAGAAACACCAGAGTGACAATGAGAAGAGATTGCAGGCATTGAAACAGAGGCAAAAAGAGACTCGGGACCAAAAGCGTGCCATACAACAGGCCCTGGCTGCATTGGTAAGAAAAGGAATAAAGCATGGTAGCATTATAAACAAAGTTGGTCATTGAAAATGATGGGTTTCATATAAAGAAACATAAAATACATAAGATTTTATTTAATAAATTGTCATTGATTTAGGGAAAAAAATCTGGAAAGTATAGGTTTTTGGATATGTACAAACTAAAATATAATCAAGATATGTTGGTTCTGTGAAGAAGTTCTAAACATTAAAATGTCAGCGGGGGGGGGGGGGCAGGGGGGGGGAAAGAAAGAAGTGAATCACTTATTGCTGCCTTAAGAATTATATGTTGGTGATGGTGTCAAGGCCGGTTTCAACTTTTACAGGACAGTGGCAGCACGTTGAATAAGCGCATTGTGTTTGACTCAGACTCTGAGGAGGAACAGCAACCTATACAAAGTGTACCCAGTTCAAGTACCAAGACCCAGAAAGAAGAAATTGTAAGAGTCTTATTTCAAGTTAAAGGAAAAAGACAAAAATTTGATTGAAATTTAAAAGTATCAGTAGTTGCGCACATAAGCAACAGTAATATTGAGACAGTTAACAAGAAACGAGCATCTTTTATTTTTGAATATATTTCTTTGTGAAGCTGATTGTTTTATGATAGCCAAATAAGTTTTTAATATTTTTGCACTTTCAGACAGTTTTAAAATCTTTGAAAAGTCAAACCAAGAAGGCCCCCAAGACCTCAGTTTTGTTTGACAGTGATGACAGTGATGCAGAAGAAAATGAAGAGGCAGACATGTTCAGACTGCGACCACAATTCGAGGGCAAGGCAGGGCAGAAGGTAAAGCTTTCATCGCTGTAAACTGGCATAACAACCCAAAATATAACTGCTATATTATACATGCTTTTGATGCAAAATTTGACATTGTACTGATTTACAGTAACTTAATTCAACTAAAACAGTAGCCTAAAATGAAGTAACTGGTTTGAATATATTGTACCCAACCAGTTACTTTATATAAATAATCTTGAATGAAAAAAAATTAGATAAAATATTTAAAGGCATTTTTAGTTCTTACTTTTAAGTTTATTCAAATATGGTATTTTTTAAATGCTATTTTCATACCTGAAAGAATCAACAGTGTTATTTGATATGATTGACAGGGCATGTTGGAATTTTACTTCAGTTAATGAAGCTGCAGGGACGATTTGGAAGTGACAGTCGTTTCAGGCTGGACGAGAGGTTCCAGGAGAGTGACAGTGGAGAGGAAGGAGATACACAAGGTGAGTTTTTGTATAATTTTGTGTCAAGTTATATGTTTTGAATATGTTAAACGGCAGTGAGATTCTTCTGACTATCAGTGGATTTCTGACTTTTTGGGAGCCAGAAATATCATTTTTAAGAATGATGCAGGTGGCCCCCTAGACCCTAACCCATGTTTTCACTAATTTTATTAAAATGGTAGTCTCATCCCTGGTTAATGATTTGAATTATATTATCTCTCTTTTGTGTCAAATTCTATGTCAAAGATGTTAAAGATGATTCTTTGCTTGATTGACATTGTGTGTATCTTGTGTCAAATTGTATTGAAAAGAAAGCAAAGCAGTAGATTTATTGCGTTCTGAACTTTATATTAAATAGAACAAAGATAGCATGCTTTCAGTTGTGGTTTCATTGTTAGGACAACATTCTTACACTACTTTTAAATTTTCAATAAGAAGATATCCACCAGGATTCTGAAATGGCAGAAGATGAGAATAGTTTGCAGAAAGAAAAGAAGAAAGCTCTTGAGATCTTAAAGACAGTGGTTGGGGAAAGTGAACGGGTTAAACGACGGTCTGCATTCACGTAAGTACAGCTACATAGTTTTCTTTTCACATTTTCATTCCATGCATTTTAATTGGAGTCTAGCAAATTTTGACACATGGAAGTTAGACAGAAATAAGGGTATTTTGATTTCTATTTTGATTTTGTTTTCTGTAGATATATAACACATTTGGCAGATGTTTGCAGGAACGTTTTATTATTATTATTTATTTATTTATTTATTTATTTATTTTATTTATTTTTTATTTATTTTTTTTTTTTTGGTGACTTTAATATTTCCAGTTACTTTTCATCAGAAGTAAATTTATTTTTATTACAGAGATATTAGTGGTGTAAGATATGATCCCACCAGAGAAGAACACAAGCAGTTTGAGTTGAAGATAGAGTCAACAGTTCCTGCTAAAAAGGAAAAGTAAGATTATTTAAAAAACATGTACTCTTGGATAACTGTATTAGTTCTCTCTCTCTGTGCAAATTTGCCCACCAATGATGTAAAAAAAAAAGCTTTAACATTCGTAAGATATTGCAAAAACAACTTGTAACTGCGAGTCAAGAACTCTTTTACCAACTTGAAGTTAAATTTTGTCAAGGAGAATAATTTGAATTGAGGTTTAGAAGCATTAATATTCTCACAGCTAGTCAGTTTAACTGTTTTAATAAGATACAGATGTCTACAAAATGTTTTGCTAATATGATTTCTACTAAGTTTTAACTGAAAATGGTTTAATAAGCATCTATTTAATAAGTTCGCTGCTTGTGCTTTAGGAAAAAGAAACAAACCGAGAATAAAGTGGATGATGAAAAGACAGACATAGATCCTGTGCCTGAAGTTTCTAAAGAAAAATTCTATGAAGTCAGTACATCTTTTAAGGACATATTTGGTGGTGCAAGTGATCAAGGTTTTAGTTTCCTTGGCAACAGCAAACAGTCACCAGAGAAAGGCACCAGTAGCAGCAATGAGGAGATGAATGATAAAGGTATAGTGTGTTGTTTCATCATAATGTGAATTTGAAGATAATATGTAAAGGTTTTGTACTGTAGCAGAAATGATAGATTTTTTAATGTTGCCCCTTCATCTAAAGAAAAATATATTTTTGGTAAAGATTTTTTAATGTTGTCCCTTCATCTAAAGAAAAATATCTTTTTGGTAAAAAAATCATTTTGCAGAAAATGCCCAGACAATTTATTGAAATATATACAAGTTCGTATTAATTTAATGGCTTGTAAGTGAATTTGTTGATTCTAGAAGTTGTTTGCTTCTTCACATTTTCAGAACTGAAAACTAAACCTTCCCCTCTGCCAAGCACATTGCCATGGCAACAGGAGAATTTCTGCTTCACAAACAGTGATGATGGGGAGGATAATGAAGATGATGAAGAAAAGGCCAGTAAACACAGGTGAGGTTTGAAGAAAGACCAGGAAATCGGAGACTAGGAGACCATTCCCAGAGACTTTGGTACCAACTTTGGATCGATCTATCTCCAAAGAGATTCTCACTTAATTGCTATTAACTTAAGCTGCTTAAATGTCTGCCACGCCTACAAAAGCTGTTAGGTGGTAATTAATTACTGGAGGCCTGAGCATGCATGAAAGTTAATTATTCCCTAGCTAAATCAGTAGGTGTGACAGCCTCTTGAGTTGATAGCAATTTAGCGTGAATCTTCATAGAGTTAGACTGACCCTGTGTTTTTGTTCATGGGAACTCAGTCTATGAGTAGATAAGTACCCACTGCAAAAACCTTAGACAGGGGTAAAGATAAGATATTTACTTTAATCATAATGGCTGCATTACTTGCTGTCTTGCCACTATAATAAAATTAATAGTTTAACTTGTTGCCGTGCAAGATTGACTGAGCAATGGTTGAAAAGAAGAGGTACTATGTGAGTTATATGACAAAAGTTATCTACTGTCCCTGTAAGTTTCTGAATCTCTGGTTTAGACATGGTTCTATGTAAATGTCATGAGTAAACTTGACTTCTGTATTTCAGTAATATAAGTGAGCGTCATGCAGAAACAATGCCTGTGCAGTCTACCGCAGTAAAGACTTTCTTTTTCAAGGAAGATGACAATAGACTTAAAGGTAATGAGAGAAAAAATTTTCAGAAGATGTTTAGATTTTTTCTTTTATATGTTGGATTTGCATATCCATAAGTAACGAAAGAATAAATAAAGACAGTGCATTGGTGATGCAAAGGTTTCTTTATTTCCATTATGAAAATTTTTATTGTTCATAAAAAAAATTTAGTTGATTATGTCTGGATAGATTGTTCATCAGAATTACAACAAAAACAAAAAAAGTGAAAATAATTACACATTGACTCAATAAAAATTCAGTTAGCATCATCTATAACGCGATTTGTAAATGTTTCTCCAGAGGGCATAGCTTTTTTCCACAGACAGGAGGGATTGGAGGAGATCAGAAAGAAGTGGAACGAAAGGAAACCAGATCTAGTAGAGGTACTTTCAAAATACTTAACACGTTTTAATTTAATAAATTTAAACCAATTGTAATTTAATATTAATTAATAATCAATGATTAGTTTTATTAAATAACAATTGGTTAAATATGATTAAATTACAATTGGTCAACTAAGCGTAGAAGAGTGTTTTTATAATTGTAATACCTTCTTTGAGACTTATTTGCTCTATATATCACAAACAATTTCTATTGATTTCAGTTTTTCCTGATGTAAATCTGTACTTTATTAGTAGTTCTTCAAATTGTATCCCAATTTCTTAGTAATAGTTTTTTTATTCTTGTAGGAATACAGAATGAAAAGGAAAAAAGCACTGAGAAGAAACAAACTGCAGGCTTCCTCAAAAAAGAAAAGAATGCCTCAGTATTTTACCAAGGCAAAGCGATGATGTCGGCCTTTTTTCCCAGCAGTCTCTCACAGCTGTCAAAAGAATTCATGTTGACACAAAAAATGTTTTTAGTAACATTACCACATGTTTAAGATAAGCACATATATACTATAGTATGTGATAATGGGATTTACAAGAGAGAAAATAGAACTAAAATTTGTGAGGCATATTTTTCACATGAGGGTTCAATGGAACAATAATTTTGAGACTTCTTGATGTTAACACATGGTGCTAATGAACATTTTAAAACGTGTTGAAACTAGAGGATCAGAGAGGCGATACCGCCTCCAGGTATTGTACCAACAGCTGGATTAAGCGCATTCATATGGAAAACAAAAAAAGGGGGACACCACATCCAGTGTTGTGCTTGACAAGCTCTACAAAATGCAGTAAACGAGTTCTAAAAATTTTTGTTGAAAATTACCATTTAAAACAAAGTCATGGGGAAAAGTAAAAATCCAAATTTGTGAAGTGAGGTTTGTAGCGAAAAATATGTCAAAGGTCAATTTGAAGATCACAGTTCAATTGCTAGAATATGGGCATATCTCTGCCAGTTTTGGAGATATAAGGGATGGAAAACTTGCAAAGTTCAGTTCATGGTGAAAAGTAGGTCAAAGGTCAAATTCAAGGTCACAGATTGCCCATTTATGACTTCCTATTCAGGTTCAATGGTAATTATTCACCACTTTACAGATACAAAATCGATGCGCGCATGTGTGAAAATTGCATTGTGGGGGGGGGGGGAGTGCAAACGGCAAGCGAACCTACGAATCGTCAGGTTGTCTGCTATGATTCCATGAGGGTAACGCCAACCTTGTCGTGTAACAACAAATATGGAGAATAACCTCATCGATCATGCACTCTGGTCCATGATTGAGAAATGCAACCTTGCACTGCTGAAGACACTACTGAATAATGTTTTTTTTCTGGGGTATACCTGATGTTGACATTTCCATTTGAGCTTATAACAAAATAGCTGCTATTATGACTGGTCAGTCATTTTATGCTATAATTAACCATTGTAAAATTTATCAAAGCTAATGAAAGACTTCATAAATCGGTTGCTATTATAATGCAGTATCAGTCCAAGGGAACAATGGCTGGTTTCAGGTTGGTTAAAGCACAACATGTAGTGACCGCTGGCCCAATCAAGTCAAGATGTGTGAGAGGTACAGTCCCATTTAAATATTCCAAATCTTTAACACATCCAATGACACGTTCCACATGAATTTGACAGTTTGTTATTGTCTTATTGTTTTGGTTCTCCTTTTCAGTGAATGGCTTTCCACCTTTTACAAATGGTGGTATAATCAGTTCAACTCCGTGTTCCAGAAGTTCTCCTCTGATCCTGAAACCTTTCTGATCCCCCATACACTTATCCCCCATGCTAAACTTTTCTGGTATTTTGCATTGAATGACCAGTTCTTCGTCAGACATGTTTCCCCCGTAAGTCGCGATATGTATGAAACTGATCCACAAGGTGTGCAGGCCAATAAAAATTTGACTGTGTGCCTGTTTTTGTATGCAGAAAAGATTTTGGTATTGGCATCAATGTGTGGAGGTTTCTCCGTCGCTATTTCAAAGCAATCTAAAATTGCTGTCATGCCATCCCATTTCTTGAAACAAGATGGATAGCATTGTGCCACCTCCAATCTAGATGGCCAGTAGATAAGTCCACCAAGCTCATAAGAAAGGAGAGGATTCCATGTTGAGAGAATCCGAGACACTAGCGTGCTAGATACATTGAAAAGATAACCAAGATATTCCTCAATAATATTCAGCTTCAACTTCATCAAAGTAAGGAGGAGCTCATTTTCTGTTGATAGTAATCTCGCTGGTCCTCTTTCCTTTTCTTGGTCTCCTCCACGTTCACCTGTCTGCTTCCCTTTCCAGTATGTCATAGTCTCTACTGCTGGAGAAACTTGTTTAAGAACCCATGAAAACAGCTGGTAAGATGGCAATACAGTATGTAATGCAATATTATCTGAATCTTTGATATTTAATATGCTGACATGAGGTGGAACCAACTTTTCTTCAAGTTGTTTGTTTTTTGTTGTGATTCTTCAAAATCAAATTGCAGACTTTTTTTTTTTTTTCTAGGAGACTTGTTTTCTCAATGACCAGATCATCAACTTGATGTAACAACTCTTTCACCTTTTTTTCAAGCATTTGGACTTTTGCTGGCGGTTTCCTATGTATATATATAAAAATTAAAACAATTTTTTTTACACAAATTAAACATTTCAATAAACTGTTGTATTGAAAATAGGTAAAATATATCAAAAGCATAAGTGTACTTGGTATACCTGCATATCAGACAAGTATTTGTACTGGTACAGTACCACATGTAATTAGAATATCATACAATTAAAATTATAGAGTTACTCAACTGGTCAATATGCTGGCATTTTTATTCCCACACAAAGTGCCTCACTTCTGAAAGACTGGCATATTACCTCACCTGAAGTGATTACTGCAAATTCTGCTGTTCTCATTGACAGTGTAACCATGACGGTCAATCTTCACTTGCCACTTGAGATACTCATCGAGACGGGGAGCATGCATCTGTAACTCCATTACATGGGGCATAACGATGAATCTGAAAATAGCATATATAATATATGCATGCATGTACGTTATTTATTCTGTATGACATGAAAGGGTTGGTTATACAGATATTATAAGCTTATTAGTTTGCAAATACATATCTAATCACTGATTGTCCAGAGTTTTAGATGTAACAGTGATTCTTAGAACATAAATCAGAAGCTGAAGGTTCTGACGCTACCAATGCCATTGGTAAGATAGCACGTCACTGGTGGGCCGACGTTACGCAGGATCCTGACAACTGTCAAGTCAGATTCCACGATAAATATAGGAGATAAACAGTACTTTGATTGTGATTATATACAAGTACAACTTTCTCATATATGGTTCTAAGTTAGTAAGATTAGCATACATATATATGAATGCGTTGTCAGTCATGGCAATTACCAATCAAACAAATGCACAAAACCCAACAATTTTTTTCTTGGCCTGCAAAGTAGACTGATTTCAAAGGCAGATTATTATATAAGAGGAGTCAAGATCATGTCTAGAGAAGAATCTAGGAATCGAAGCCAGGACCTCTTGCGCTAGGTAAATGTACATTCTAGGCAAGTGCTCTACCACTGAGCTAATGCCCCTCCTTTTTTTAATGCACCCCAACCTGCCAAATAAACCCAAATCAATTGTCCCAGTTTAGGTAGATTTAGGTTAGGTCTGTGTAGTTTCTGAAAATCTGCACAAATAATTTTATTTCTGACAATCTTCAAAAACTACACGGACTTAATCCATAATATTATGGACAGGTGTTACACTTGGGATCATCTTTCATCTTGGTGAGTTTGAGGTCAATCGGAGCATCTTCACGGGAGAAGCAGCCGTTATAGATGCCCAAACTAAAAGATCTCTAGTTCTGGAACCGTAAATGTTAGAGATTTTTATTTTTATTTATTTATTTATTTATTTATTTATTTATTTATTTATTTATTGCATTTTGTAGAGCTTGTCAAGTGCAAAACTGTAAGTGGTGTCAACTTTTTCATTTTTAACACGAATGGAGAGTTGTACCATATGAAAAAGTACAACATCGCAATATTCACTGTTCAAAATCTGAAATATTCCTAAATTGGAGTAGATATGCCCATGGTTACTAATGAACTTGAATAGCAAGTCATATACTGACAAGCTGTCTGTGTCCTTGAAGTTGACCTTTGACCTACTTTAATAATGAACTGCACTTTGCAAAATTTCTGGCCCTTATATGCCCAAGACTTGTAGAGATACGCCCATAGTTACTCTTGAACTTGACTAAAAAGTCATATACTGGCAATCTAACTGTGACCTTGAAAGTGACTTTTGACCTACTTTTCACCATGAACTGAACTTTGCAAATTTTTCATCCCTTATATATATATATATATATACCCGGTATATATATATATATATATATAACTGGTAGAGATACACTCATAGTTACTCTTGAACTTGAATGGGAAGTACTGGCAATCTAACTGTGACCTTGAAAATGACTTTTGACCTACTTTTCACCATGAGCTGCACTTCGGAAATTTTCCGGCCCGTATATCTCCAGCATCGCCTCTTTGATCCACTAGTATACTATTTTCTTCCTGCAAAATAAATGTCAGTATGAACATACATAAATAATAAAACCAGACAGAATATGCTGTGATTCCTGAATAAAACAGATGGGGGGTAATACGGACACTACAAACGTGAGGAGACACCAAGGGGCTTTTGATTTTAAATAACAAAGCAATATTAATAATGGTTACATGTACATAACTCCTTTATTATCTGGCCGCCCTTCGGAAAAGATTAATTAACGCTTCCAATGGCGGGATCGGAGGAAGAAGAGTCAATCCATTCACGACTGTTTCTGGGAAGAACACTGAAACTGCGTGACTTTCTTTATTGAGGTCAGATTTCACCTGTACCGCTCAACTTGTCAAATAGTTTACAGACACCTTGAAGTGGCTACGACGAAGCATGTGCCGCGTCTTAAGTGAATAGGGTCATTGCTACGTCAGTTCCTGCAAATGATAACCTATCGTTGCCACAACACCAATGGTAGTCATCGATGAAAACCTGAATAAAGGAATAATCTGGGAACCACTTGACTATCACTTGATTGGGGGCACCTTAGAAACAATTCTAGGTTGCACAACCAGGGCCCAGTTTTATAAAGGAGGTTTAACTCTAACCAGACCTAAACAGTCTGTTATTAACTGACCTTTAAATAATTATTTAATCCAGTTAAACACTGGCCAGTTAACTAATTGGCTGTTTTCCGTCAGAAGACTGTATATTAAACACATTTTAACCATCTTTTAGTTAATGGGTGTTAGGGGAATTTATCCACTGGTTAGGCTTATCCACTGGTTAGTGCTAAACGTCCTTTATAAAACTGGGCCCAGATTTTTAGTCAACAAAGAGCACTTTTAATAGCAGATAACTTACAGAATCAAGGGAATGAACAGCTACCATGGTCATCAAAACCTCCATATTTGAACCACATGGACAATATTTGGGTAGGTCATTACTCGCCGAATCAACGGCCGACATGTCCTACAACAAAACTGAACCAAATTGGACATGTTTTGACCAATGCCTGAAATGTTATTCCAGATTAAACTCTAAAAACCTTTCCCAAGGAATGCCTAGCAGCTTGAGAACCCTGGTAGCAACCAGATGAAGTCAGGCGTAACAATGACTGTTACTGTGCCAAAACACTGACATGAGGGTTCTTTATTGGGTATGCAACTCTTTTGCCTGTGAAAATTTTGGAAAATGTGAAGATCCAAAATATCGCTTTTAATGGTTGTCGTAT